TCGGCGATTAGCTGACTGTGCGTGGGTCCTAGAACGAATAATAGCAATCTGTATTGTCTCGACATTCGTCTAACGTGATACCGATCGAGGGGCGGGAAGCGAACTACGGCAACAACGGAGCTTCCACTATGCCCTAAACGCCGAGATTGTGGGAGCGAGAGGGTCCCTTCTACCACCCATGGGGGGCCCTGAGTATTCCTAAAGGAACAACTCAGTAACCTTTTTATCGTGAACGGTGCCTTTAACAGCAGAGCCATTCCCGTTGTGCTCCTCAGTATCACGCTTGCCAAGTGAGATACTTAATAAAGCACGCATTTTTGAGGGAAAAATAAAATTGAAGCGACTCTTTTAATGATCCCATCTAGCAGCTTCGACGGGAGATGTGGACCCATTTTAGCATAAGATGTCGAGGTTTAACAACAAACAACAAAGGACCTATTCTTTCTCTTTTGCAGGCTTTCGCTACCTCGTTTGCAATAGTGTTGAACTGCATCCTGGCATATTTCCTCTTCAACTTCCGGCCGACGATGTTCTTTGTGGTTGGCGCGTGCTTTGTTATCGGAGCTGTATTTGTTTACAGCATCTACCCATATCGGTAAGTCTATCTGAACTCCAGCTTGCCTTCCTTTGGGTCTCCTGCACACGTTCGGAAAGCGTGAGCGGTGGAGTCGTGCAGGAAGTCGTTGTGCGTGTGCAAGGAAGGATCCTTACCTTCACATCAACGCACCTGGCAGTCACAGTAGTCGTACACTGGAAATTTACTGTTGCCTTCACACTGCTTGGTACGACATGCTGTGGGTGTAGCGAGCAAAGCATTTCATTTGCGTACTAGATCCCACATCCAGAAAGAGGACGTGTCAAATTCGTCAACAAGTGGGTAGTAGTATGAGTTTTTATGCGTCATCCATCTTCAATATTAGAAGCGTAATCGCGTTTCCTTTCGTTGATTTGGTCTTTTGTTGTGATTATTAGTGCTGATTTTGAATGAGGTCAGTATTTGGTCAGTACCAATACAGGCAAGATAACCGGGCAAGATTTTCGCCAAGACCTCTTCTACAGGTTCAAGCTGGACAAGTTTGCAGAGGATTTTTGGGTCTCGAAAAATCAACGCTGATTGAGGTGAAAGCCACTGAATTTTCTGTGCGCGTTGGTTCTGGAGATTTCGTTGTGGAGAGTTGAGTGTTGCCGAAAAGAAAGGTCGTGGCAGCCTGTCGAAGGTAATCAGCAGGTTTGATCCGCCTAGAGGCATGTGAGCTTGCTCAAGTACTTGACTGACGGCTGTGCGCTATTTGAAGAAGAAGAGAATGTAAAACCGCTCTCTGGTGGTTTGCTCAGTAAAACCGCTCTATGGTGGTTGTTGCGCTTCGGGGACGATCCATTCGTATCCATGAGAGATGGACATTTTACAAAAATCTTCCAGTGAATGGATGGTGATGAAACTCCCAAGCACTTTCTAGAGCCGAAAATGCATTCGAAGAAAAGTGTGGTGAAGTATTGTGGTGTGCTACAGGTGTAATTCATCACAGTCCTATGATACCTGGTAGAACCACCACCACAGAGAAATATGTATTGCAACGAACTGGACGAATGCAGAGGCCTTTTGTGTATCAGCAAAGGGAGTTAGTTGCTTCGCAGCTTCGCATTGGCAGTCATACAACTGTTTGAAGAGTAACGCGAAAATAACCCATAGAGGGTATTCCTGGAATCATGGGCGTCGCAGCAAAGAGGATGGTATTCCTTCGCATCGTAAGGAAGCACCAGAGCCTTTTTCGAAATGTGAGCTCAATTGCGTAAGCAATAACACATATGAAAGTATTGGGCATATAGATTTCAAGGAATTTCGTTGTGAAGGTTCTTTAAACACGCTCGGAATCAACCTCTCAAGCAAGAGTAGGTTTTCGGTCGGCAGGTGTCTGCAAATTTATGAGAAGATCACAGTGACATTCTGTGGTGTGAGGATGCGAAGCTGGGTATGCGACAAGAAAGCTTTGAAAGTGAACATGATAGATGAACGTAACTTTGCTTTGAGAATGACAAGAAAAAGAAAAATGGTACAGATTGTGGTGAAGGATGAGCAGCATTTTGCTCATGGTGGCGGGTGAGGTCGACTTGTGGCGAAATACTGTTCAAGAATGGGAGACGGGCAATAGGAACAGTTTTGTGCAATCGATCCGCCGCAGGAGGCTGTCGCGGATCTTAATTCTTTTGTTCCTGTATTTCTTACTTGCTGCGGCATTTGGCTACATTCCTTCGCGCGCGACGTCTCTCGCCGCGACGCGACAGTTTCGTTCCTACTGCACCACACCCTTCAAGATTTCAAGAAGTGGCAGTTTGTCTGGAGTGTTTTACAATTTTTATGTATGTGAAATACGCGGTGTAAATGAATGAATAGGCGAAGTAAATCATATCTGAGTTATAAATTTGAGTCGACCGTGAATACCGCTTCCTTACGTTGATTTTCCTTATCTTTCGGCTCAAGCGAAGGTTTGATTTTCCGGTCTCACAGGTGACCGGAATTTTTCCGCCGGCTTAGGTTAGCCAGCCTATGTGTCAGGAAAGGAGCTCCCACTTCACCTTGTCCTGGTTCCGTTTAACAGTTGGATGCAGAGGAACCATAGAACATGAGTTAACAGGTTGTGATGTAGAGATCGAGGCCATGGGGGTTTTACAGAGGGATGCCAGGTATTCCCTCAAAGCGCATTTTCGGGCTCCCATAAAACAGCCCAGCGGTCATCTCTTTGTGGGGAGTAACTTCTGTCACTACAACTACTTTCTCTCCTTGTTGGAAAATTAAGCTCAGACCGGGGAGACGGGCAGTAGGGACGGTTTCCTGTAATCGATTCGCCGCACGCGACTGTCGCGGGCCATTCCTTCGCCGTTATTACAGCTCTAGCGTTCTCCATACAGCTCAATCGATAGGCGATCCCTTTTGAGGCATGATTCTACTTAAGTTCCTTTGTTACTGTACTTCTTACCTGCTGCTGCGTTCTGCTATATTCCTTCGCGCGCGGCGTCCCTTTCGCCGCGAAGAAGCCACGAAATTCCTGCAGAAGGAATTTCGATCCTTCTGCACCACACCTCTCAGACCGCTCTGGAGACCATCCTCGCTGCCACCAGTTTGATCCGACCCATAGAAATCATTTATTTATGAAAATACTATAAACCTCAGAATCCCATGACCAGGGCTCGCTCATAACATAGCCTTGCCCTTGACCAAACATTCGACCACATCAGTATTCTCGTGGTTCGTATTGAATCTGCTATATATCAATGAACTGTTGTTCTATTGTTTAAAGGTTTGAAATATTTCAGGGTTCGCCGTGAACCCCTTCCGACTTCTGAAGAAATGGCAACAATGAAGGAGAGGAATGAAAAGGAAGCGGTCTAGTAGCTGAGTTGTTACGTACAGTGTAACGAAAGTTCCTGTAAACGATTTCCACATGCGAATGACTAGGTGAGCTTTCTAGATGTATAGTGCAATTCCACGCTAGAATCTTGTTTTAAAAGGGCACTTTCCGATACATTATGAGTGACTGGATGTAGAGGAGGTTCTTCAGCCTCAATTTTTATCGTGCGTGAAGTCAGTTTTTTGAGTCATTCTTTGCGATCACATCCAATGCATCTCTTTTTGTTACCGAAATTCTCGATTTTCAGTCAGTTTCACTTCGAAATTCGTGAATGTTCTCTTTTTTTTTCGCCTTCACTCTATAATGTGCTGGTTTGAGATGATTTATGAATGGGGTCGTTTGTTTTTATGATTCTTTCGTTCATTTATATCAATGTTTAGATGTTATGTTGTCAGATTGTTATTGAGAATATACTCTCTGCACACATCCACATTGTTCTTATATGAAGATAAGATAAAGGTAAAGTCTTCAGGCGCTGATCAATCCAGACAGACAAATGCGCCCTGTATTCGACTTTCATTTAGAATCAAAGTGACGGATTCTAAGCTAAATTCAGTGAACCAGTAAGAGAATTTTCTCCTGGAACAGTGCCACCCACCGGTGGGTGCCAGTCGCGCGCGAATGGAGGGGAACGTGGTCCCATGGGCACGTCACATCGAAATCCGCATCGTCGTCAAAGGGTGAATCTCCATTTTTTGATGTCCAATTGACATTTGCATGGGTATCTGTCTATCAGAATCACGTCACCCAATCAATCACTGGAGAAACAATCAGGTGAAGATCGACGGGACATATATCTATCGTTATCGCGGTCCCGTTGCAATGAAACCGAAAAACGTGCATGCAGAGCAAGTTAAATCAAACTTTATGTTAACAATAAATCAGTTTGAATTTGATGAAAATTGATGGAGGCAGATTAAGAATTTTGTTTTTCAGAGTACTAGGAAGGCATAATTTTCCCCTTCACCCACCTTATGCAGCCATCACCTCTTCAAATTGCGGGTTGCTACATGAGCGACGCGTTTTTAACTGAAATCTTCTGTAAATTTGTAGATTCATATTTATAGGTTTCCAGGTCATTTAGTATGAGAGGGAGGGGGNGGGGGGGCAGTTTTCATTCTCTGACGCCTGAACCAATTTTGGAAAAAAAACGACAGATCTTCTCAGGCAACCAATAGTATAATGTTCAAAAAAAAAAGGCCATGACTGATGAAACCATACATTTCTATTCAGTTGCTTGCTGTGAAAAATATAGAATGAGGTTGTTGTTGCCGCTTTCGTCAAATTGGACTCTTACTTCACAAGCTCGAACTTCACAATGAAGCAAAACACTTTGTTCTGTGACCCAGATGAATACTTCCTGTACTATGTACACATTATGTGAAAAGGAAATCTGACAAGAAAAATTCAATTTGAAAGAAATTAACAGTACTGAGCCCATGCCCCATTTAGCCATCGACTCATCAATTGGTCCTCAGGGAAGCTGTGATCAAAAAATATCTAGTAAATATGCATAAGCCAGCACCGCTAACAATTCACGATCTGCTTTTCCAGAAGAAGTTTGTCGCCTTCACTGTTCTCATAAGGATATAACCTAAAGTCAAGCCTATACCCCCGAGTCTTCGGCAAAGAGCCTCATTCGCTCCACGGGAGAAACATCATCGTCATCCCAAGGCATAAACACTAAACAAAACAGTGCTTCATTTGCCTGAAGAATGGCTGAACATTGAAAAAGAGGCTATTTCATGTATGACTTCATGAGGCATCGGCGGAAACGGCTATATTTATTTACTTATTTATTTATTCATGCGTGACACTTCACGCGCCTTAACTAGTACAGAAAAAGCGGTAGTAGTTAAAACAAATGATCAAAAGAGCTTAGTATCTATCAGGAAATAAAGGTAGCTGAAAATCGTAGTTGACAGTCTGACATACCGTAGCTGACAAACAGGACATAGAAGGAGACCTCTTTGACTATATGTAGTGTAGAACACGAAATAAAAAGAAGATCGACGACAGGTCTCCCGTTTACTGTTTACCTATCGCTAACTATGGCGTCGCTGCCAAGAACCCAATTATATGGATTACTGGGTCTGTCGGAAGAATCAAATTGCGATTGAAGTCGCGGAAGTCCATCAGCATGGCCAAGAGCCCAATGGACTTCGAAAAGCGAAGGACTAGCAGTCAGTTCAAAAAAGTAATTTTCTTACAATGATAGCGAATTTTGAGCACAACTTCGGCCAAGGACGTACTCGCACTTGCGCGTGCACCGTGTTATTTCACGACCCTTTCATGACCGAGACAAAATCTTGCATATTTTTTTTGGCCACCTAAAACTTCTACTTGCATACGGTACCGATTAAACAATGTCTTTTCTGATTTGCCACTGTTCTCCTGTCTTTTCATTCGAATCCCCATCAGTTTTGGAGCTTTCCTGTTGCGGGGATACTAACTGGTAAGTCGCTTGATATCTTTTCTGAAGGATTATCCAATGCTTACAGCACGCTCGTTGGCTAGTTCCATCGTCAGTTCAATTCCTTCTTCTCTTGCTTTGTCTGGGAAATTGCGGAGGTGTTCGGGACATTTCTCTCGGTTTACGGTCTCTCAGGAAACGATTGCTATTTTAATTGCTTCTATCGGACGATTCGACATGTTCGAATCGATGAGTCTGTGGGAATCTGGAACTGATTCCTTGACTTCTTTGGCAGCCTACAGTGAATGACTATGTCGGGTTGTGCAAGCATATTGAAGAGATGTCATGTATTTTCAGATAACGCAGACGTCGTTTATTTCACTTGGAGTGACCCGTTAGTTGATTTTCTTTTGTCCAGCTGTTCTCTCGTAATCCCGCAGAAAAGCTGTATTTCCGAGTTATTTATTCGGTGACTTTCTGGAGCCTTTCGAATCAATAAATCTTTGCCTTGTCATCCTGATCTTCCGTAAACGCCTGAGCTTGAAGGACCGCGACTCGAATGTACGAGGAGTTGCTGATAGAACCAGTGTCAGGAACGGCGTCGGCCTGAGAGCTCATCGTCGGTACTGTGAATGCAGCTTCTGACGATCGTTCGTATTACCAGAGAAGCCTTGGCATGTCAAGTTGAGGTACGACGTGTGCTTAGATCGTAGATGAAGGGTAAGGGTAAGTGATAACAGTGAATTACCGATAAAGCTGCTGAGAGACAGAAAGCTTCGTTACGCTTTTTTTCTCAAAAGAGATGCTAGTGCAGTAGGCCACGAATGTTCAATAAAACGAAGTAACAAAAAGAATGCCTGAAACTAGCCGAAGCCCGACTTCACTATTTTTTCGATAGAACGCAGTATGCGATGCTAAAAATTCCCAAGGAAGGTGGATGTAGGCCTCGTACGGAAGTCGATCCGATGCACGTGCCTTTCGGTCACCGAGCTCCTTATCCTTCACACTACTGAGACACATCGCATAGCTCATATATTGCGGCAAAATCTTCACGGTTCCTAATAGGCTCAGCATTGGAACAAAAATTCATTAGAGAAATCCGGTTCCTATCAGTGATCCTACGGTGCGTATAATGCTCTACGACATAACATTATCTGGATACAGAAATTCTGAACCCGAGTTGGTCCCATGAGGAACACACGTTCAATTGAAAAATCACATTAGTGTTGCACTGGGAGTAAGATTCCCGTACTGGGATTTTGTTCATATACTCACCGTATTCCGGCCGATTGTGTTGGGGATCAATTGGAATGTCTAGAGGGTGTGACTCCTCTTCAATTTGTATTATGCTGAAAGCATCTGCCGAAAGCCTCGCTGGGATCCAGCTATCTCCCGGGTTCTTAAATGAGGCCTCTATGTAAGGACAATACTCACCTATAAAGGCATAACATATACGGTCACATTTTCTTTGATTGTTTAGCTATGCAATGACGGGATTGTCCACCCATATACAACGCATACTGCCTTACGAGTTGGGAACTTACCAGAAGCTGCTGAAACTCGAGACAAGTATTCGACTTCGAAGCCCCTTCTAGAGGTTCTGTCCACGCCTCGTTCCAGACAGGTCGAAGATAAACCTCTATGTGGTCAACCGATTGCGATCGATGTTGGAATCTCGTGAAATGTATGTTGTGCGCTGACAAGCGAAAAGTGTCCTTGCAGAGTATTTCTTTAGAAGAATCCAATAAACACGAAATCCGGACTATTGTGATATACAATCTCTCTTATTTATAAAGCAGAAACCTGGTGTGTCGGTTTGTATGTTTGTCGGCCTGTCCGTCCGCTAAACTTATGATTATGATGAAGGTAGTGATGTGGATAACCCAGCTCTATCCTACATTCCTATGCATTCCTTTATTAAGCGGAAGGGGGGGGNGGGGGGGGAGGCATTCTCAAGGAATAGGGGCCCGGCATAAGCCGGGCGACCCAATAACACAATAAAATCAGATAGTTCCTCGAATCGGCACAACCATCGCATCAAAATAAGCATGATTATGAATAGAGACTCATATCATAACATGCCTACTAAACCAGTGCATATTCAGTAATGTTCCTTTTCGATCAACGAGAAGTGGATTAGGAGAAAGGACAGACGCCACAGCTTCCTCTTTTCCAACGTTACTTTCACCTTACACCTTGCAACAACTTTCGCACCGAATATTGAAAAACGAAAAGAAGCACATCGAATCTCCATCCCATCTCCTTTTTTGGGTGAATATGAACACATATAAGAGCTCGATTAAACGACGCGACAAAAAGGTACTCCGAGTGAAGCTCAGGGCGTTGGGTCATAGGGGTGCTGTATCGCGCGTTCACGGAGCGTACGGATATGGCTTACGACTTCAGATGGGTAGGTGACGTGGACGGCAGCTAGTATGAATGCGCTCGATGGAAGGCTTGGTTGGCCAGGTGGGTATCGATCAAGGATTTGAACCCGTGACCATGCGTGTGTGGTAGTGCGACACATGTCACCATACCATCTCAAATCGTACTATGAGAGGCTTACTCGCAAACTACTGTAAGGCGAATTTCTGCCATGGCTTCACAGAGTCTACTGCAAACCAAGGGCGAAATTTGGCAAAAAACACAAGAGAGAGAAACGCCGAAGACCTTGTGCTGGTGGTTCAGTGGTTTTCTTATAACTCCGATGGTAACGGAGTAAAAATACAAGTAGTGTAATAAGTGCGGACGTTACTGCAATGAAAACGTAGTCTAATGGTAAATAATACTTTATCTAACAACACAACCTACGTCTTGCCCTGGACGTTGTTTGAGGAAGAAGTGAGGGAACCCCTTATCTCGGGGCCGCTTGACCCCGCACCGTTTTAGGGGCGTGGATTAAGCTAGAGGGAGTCGTCTCAGACAGTAAGACGACGAGATAGTAGTTGAGGTGAGGTGATCGTCGCCTTAGACGACGATAGACCTATTCCTCATGATGAGTAATGCCATTCAATCTTCTGCAAACATTGAAGTAGGCTCCTTCATAGGGAATCTGAAAGCCAATCGTTCTTTGGAGATCAAGATTTCCTTGGCAGTCCACAAATTGAGTTATGCGTAACGCGTAGTTCGATGAAGGTGGAGCCCATGCAAATGTTGACACATGTTCGGGTATGTCTGCATTTTTACGTCAACTACTGAAACTGTCGCAATTTTACAGGAAATAGATGAGTTCGCCGTTTTTGATCTCGATCCGTGGTTCCGCTTGTTTGAGCATCTGCCACTTCGCCTCATGACCAAATTTGTAGAATTTGTTGATTTTGCGTTGCAAGTTGATAATTATAGCCGGTTCAGATGTCTACCTATCCGTTCAGAAGGGAAGGTTGCAAAAGTCCGTAATAGGAATGGCAACTCACTGCGGAATTAGTAGTCTATTTGTTTTACTGCGATAATCAGTCGCGTGAAAGGAAACGCTTACCTGATTTGTCTTCGTACTGTGGTTTTCTCGATTTTTTTTAGACTAAAAGCGCCTGTTGTCGAAATTTATTGTCATCATGTAAATCCAGACTTTGCAATAAACTGATATCCTATCCCTTCTAGATTTTTTAGGGATATGTCGGTATCTTTTCCATGTTGGGCTCGGGTAAGTAATGCAGTAGAGGATCCACAAACTAGGAGTTCCGTTGCGCAGGATCAAGTCATACAATTGACGGGAGAAGATGGCGACTGGTAAAACATCCTCTTTACTTCCTACTACTTACTTCGAAATGGAAGAAGTTGAGCAGTTTAGGTATGTCATGAAGACGCTCGATGGGCAGTTCGGTCGGGTACCGAAGATTCTCGCAAACCCCATAGCAAATCCCTTGCGGTAGGCTTGCTTTGTCGTTTTTTTTTTGAACGAACATAGAATCTTTTGTAACGAGGCCATGAGGTCTACCTTTCTTACTGTCTTGCATAACCTAGGCTTCTATAGCTGAAGAAATCTTACATAACTTTAAATTAGCAAAATTAAGGCCACATTGTGAAAACTTTTCTTTCGTGACTCCTGAAACCCTGATATTTGCAGAACTGCGTCAGAAAAGGTGCTGTGTTCTATTGCACAATACGACGCTCAGAGGGACGGAGACTTGGCCTTCGGCATATTTACTATTATAGGTAATCATTTTGTACTCTTTTGTACTCCTTTATCACATAGTATTCCCTTCTAATTTTTTTCTCATTATGCGAGCGGTGACAGGTGCTTGAGCAGGTGTTATTTACCAAGATTAGGGGTGTGCTTCATTTCTTCGAAGCATACGTAATTCTAGTAAAAGTTTTGAGAAAATATCCAAACAAAAGGAATAGTTTATATAATTTTATACTACGATACATGTTATAGTCTCTGACGCCATTGCAACTAACGGTTACTGTAGTGGCGTTGTTGTGACAGATACTGGTAAGCGACTTGGTACCGCTGGAACGTTTCCTCTCAGCTACGTTGTACACACACACACACAAACACACAGATTAACGAATTATATATAGTACGACGGCTGACGCGTGCTCCCCACCTTTTCGTGGTAAAATAGCCTCCGCGCCTGCACCTTTTTCAAATTTGGAGCCTTCCAAACACATGCACCCAACACGATTCGTGCGCGTCCCGTCCACCATAAACAGACCTCCCTAGGTTCTGTGTGTTCGACTAAGTAGGTTTATTTGCGACTTATTCAACCTTGGTTTCGAAATCTCGCTTCAAGCCTACATTAGCATTTTTTGCTCACGCCTCGCCTCCGAGTTGAGTCCTGCCACCCGACCTAGGTGCTCCCATCCTACCGCCTGTATTTCTATCGAATATGAATGCTCTACAGGGTGGGCCAAAATTATGATTACAGCGCGCGCTGACGTTCATTGCAAATTTTTTCTATGTTCGTAACAATTCATTGAATTTCTTCCATTTCACAAAGTAGCTTACGTTATTACCTTTCTAACGATACTAAACTTTGGGTAGATTTTTAACATAATATAAGCGTAACTAGTCCGTGAATTAAACGTCGCTTTGCACTTTCAAACACTTTTGGCACGGTGCATCTACAGACGAACTAGCGAAACAAGGCAGGTATTGCATTCAACCATAAGACGCTCTCGAGAGTTGGGAACAATTGCAGATAGGAAAAGGAAATTCGAACTCTTCATGCCCAGGGGACAGGAGTTATGTGTTCCCGCTCAACCATTTCATTTATTTCGCGCGCGTCCCGCCCCCTTGTGGGCAAGTCCGGTCCTGACACCTGCCATGAGTGTTCCCATCCCGTCTTCTGTACTCCAACCAAATTTTAATGCTCTAGTTTCACGGGGACAGGAGTTATGAATTTCCAGTCGGACACACACACCGACACACACACACACA